GCTGTTTCCCCGGCGATGCTCTGGTCACTCTTGAGGGAGGGGCTAGTAAACACATGCGTGACCTTCACCCCGGCGACCGTGTCTTAGCTTCCTCAACGACGGATGGCCGGGGTCCGCTTCTCTACAGCCCTGTTTTGTTCTTCCTGGACCGTCAACCTAACAGCACAAAGATCTTCTACACCATTGGCACAGACTCAGGAGTTAATGTCACACTCACAGCTGCTCACCTGATCTTCATCACTGACTGCACGGAGACGCTGAAAGACCCACTTTTGGACAGGCCCCGCTCAGAGGCAGAGCCGAAGTCAGTCTTTGCCAGCGAGGTTCGTCCAGGACAGTGTGTACTTACCCCAGGAGGTGAGGCGGGGTCACGGGCGGTAGCTTCGGTCGTTACCTTTGTGACGGAGCAGAGGAGCAGCGGACTGTACGCTCCACTCACCCAGCATGGGTCCATAGTGGTTAACAGTGTGCTGGCGTCGTGCTACGCCGCCGTGGACAGCCACCACTTGGCCCACTGGGCTCTGGCCCCGCTCAGATTCTTCTATGGCCTCCTGGGGGCTTCAGAACCACAGACTGACGGGCTGCACTGGTATCCTTGGCTTCTACAGAAGTTGGGGCGAACGCTGCTGGACGCTGGACACTTCCATCCCTGGGGGCTGGAGCAGGGACAGAGATAGGACAAATGTGAGATTTGATGACATGGATGACGTTTGTTAACGGGTTGTGGAAGTGGTTCAGGGGAGGTCCGACGACAGGAGATTTGACAGTGTATGTTTGTTATGTAGTTCAAGACAGACTGAAATGATTGACTTAAATCTTTCAATGATTTTAAAAACAGGAGGTGTTTTAGAACAACAGTAGAAAACCGCAGAACGACAGGCAGACATCACTCCTTTTTGAAATGAGAGAATCAACATCAACCCAAAGACTGTGACTTAAAGCGGTGCATTGAACTATTTTGACCCCTCCGTTTTACTCCATTGTGCTGTACTTCTGTGACCTGTCATCATTCCTGGGTTTAAAATTAACATCCGTTCATTTACTGTTACAGGTAGAAGTGATTCACACACCAGGAAATAAGTGAGGTGTCATGAAGAAAACCTTTTTGTAGTTCTGTTTGTACATAGTTATTTATACGGTTCAGTATAAAGGAAATATACAGTGAATCAGGTCTTCTGTTGGAAACCATAATTTAATAGCTGCAGTGAATCCACTGATTCTGTGTCTGATCTGTGTAGTGTGTACTGTATGTGTCTTACATACTATTATTTTTCTCAGACACCTCAAAGCCAAAGTCACAATCTATGTAAATACTCTAAAGCAGTGTGTTCAGAAGCTGATGTTGCACTGGTTAGTTTCACAACGTAGAACAGTAACAGTAACTGACGGGGCATGATGATCCGTATTAGTATTGTTTTAAACACAACTGAACACACAAGGTGAAAAACCGACTTCTTCCATATAACTTGATTGTCTCATTTAAAAGAATTGTTTGTTTAAACTTTTTTAAATTTAACAAAAAATGATCCCGTGTTTTGTGTATTTTATTTTATTTTTTTAAGTTGTTTCAGGTTTCCCATGTTTTCAGGTAAGCAATGCATACACAGTACTCAGGCTATAACCAACTACTGTATTTAGAAATAGCGATGCATTTTTTAAAATAAATAAATAAACAGCTGCCTTTAAATTTGAATATTAACGGTTTGTACGATAGTTACACCTTATATCATTGATTTTCTTGTACTCTGTGTCTTGAGTAGTACATGAGAAGTTGAGAGGAGCTCATGTTGCCACATATCCTGAAAAACAGTAGCGTTCTGGAGAAATATTTTGTGACCATTCCAATCATCTCAGATCTCCAAAGATTGCTTCTTTTTAAACGCCGGCTCAAGGATTTGTTAAATATGTATATTAAGTTGTTGTTGGAGAGACTATTTAAAGATCTATTTTTAAGAAATAATGTATATTACTATTATATATTGCTCTGGGCATACAATTTGTATTTGACATAAAGTCGTTTTTAAAACAAATATATTCTGTGTTTTTATTTCATTAATGACACATTTCTGAATAATAGTGTTGTCATCTGGCACCTGCTAGTGTGTGTGTGTGTGTGTGTGTGTGTGTGTGTGTGTGTACGTTACTAACCTCTGCTTTAAACAACGGCTGGCACAGCGACGATCCAGCCTGAGTGCTTGTGGTCACAGGGTGGGCTGGTTTCAGTACCACGGACAGCAGCCCACAGCCACGCCGCTTTATTGATGTCTGAAGTTGGTTTTGTTTAACGCATAGAGGAGAAGTCCTGGAGCACAGCGCTCTCTGCTGGATGCCTCAGTAACTGGTGAGAAAACGAGAGAGAGAAAAATAAAAACACAATATATTTATTTACAGTATATTGATTTGACAAGCAGAAAAAATATTTTTTTTTGTGGGAGCTGTAAAGGTGCCTTAAAAATGACACATTTAAATTAAAAAGCTGATAAAAATACTGTGGACTAACATGTGCATGTCATTGTTTTATTAAAGAAAATGTTTTACTTAATTTTTAAAATGTTTAGTAAAGTAGCACTTTATTATTTATTCATAAATATGTCTTTGTATTGTGGTAATGACTGGGATAATGACTGGGATAATTATGCTTTTTTAAAAATATATCTTAAAGTTTGAACTACCACAAAGCATCACAAATGACCACATATACCACAGACTTAGAGTCTCATTAGATCAGTACGGGATTGTAGTTTATTTTTAATCAGTCACATACAGGAAAAACATTTTTGTAGAATCCTAGAGTTCACTAATGGAGACTCTTCCATAAAGACGGAGAGAGAACCAGACTTGGATAAAAATACTCCTGTTTTACGTTTTTTAAGTTTTACATAAAAAAACTCAAATTAAAAATGTGAGAGATGACTCGACCTGAATCTGCAGGCGATTTTCTCACATGTTCGACTCGTTATGAGAAAAATAAACTGTTTACATCTTAAAAAGGTGAAAATACTGGGGGGGAATCGTCAACCCTGAAGCTGACGATTTATCTATTTGTCTGGCCTCTGTCTTTTCCTGTAGTAAATTAGTTTGGGTCGCGACACTGCGGCCACATTTTGAGGCTCAGCTGTTGGACAACAGGCAGTTACTGTAGGACTAACATCTCAGAGGGTGCTTGGAAAATATAGAGCATAAAACTGCCTATCGTCACTCCTCCGTACTAGGCTTAAAAAAATAAATATTAAGAAAATTAAAAAGGAGAAGTCGCCCGTTTCGACTGCCTCAATTGCGGCCCGCGTATATTCGCCTTGAATCAAGGTTGTTCACACGAAACGTGGGAAGTCAGCATGCTCACAGTGACTTACACACAGATATGAATGTCTCGATAGAATATGTATCTGTCAACACAGCTTGGCAAAATTACACTTATACACAACAAATGCACAATAACACCTGAAATCATAACACCGGCCTCTGGGAAAACCACCAGGAAACATTTGGGTTTTGGTGTTCCAGGCTGCTGACTGCTGCCTCGTCCCCTGGTACTGTAGGTGGTGCTGTTGAAATTGTCCAATAACAATAGTCTATAGATAAAGAATTTATGTTCCCAGGGGACCAATACACACACACACACACACACACAACCTCACAAAAATGTCCTCTCACACTTATTACATGTCCATGACATCATGAGGAAGTGTCTTGTCAGTGGATGACAAAAGGTGGATTCGATTGAACTACTATCTACGGTTTCTGTGTCTATATCAGGGAGCAGGAACTCTGACAGGTACAAAACACTCCACCACATCCTCAATTGGCAATTATGTTGACATAGTTATATTAGGCTATACGTAATCATTGCTCGGCAGCATACAAAAATAAAAGCCGTTGCTCTGGTGCATATTCGGAGTCGTGTGCATTGCATTGCAGGAGAAAAGCCTCGATGCAAAGACAAGGCATTGTTTTCCGGCACGTTTTGTTAAAACCGTTGCTGAGACTGGCTCAGGTATCACATATTGATTAGTGTTAGGCTGTGACTGCATCTGCCTGACTATTGTACAACCAGTAGCAGCTTCTCATGCTTCTCATTGGTGTAATTGAGCCTGACGTATGCATATGTGGAATTCCTTCATGAAAAGACCACTTCAAAGGAAACGTTTCAACACTCAGTTCTGCTTTGTTGGGTAGTGAGCGTAGTATTTCTTCTAAATATTATTACTAGTATGTCGTAGTATTTTAAGATGAAATCCTGCAGCTTAAAGCACCTGAAAGGAAAGAAATATCTGGCAATATTCACCACATAGCACTGCTGTCTGTTAATTATAGAAAAAAGATTAAAAATAGAAAAAAAAATTCTATTTGACTTAATTTTTTTTAAAGGTCAGACTCTCAGTGACCAAATAATGTATAGATTTACCACTGGCTCTGACGCTTATTAACTCATCATCTCTGACAGACTCTAGGAACAAATTCATGTTGCATAGCTCTTGCAATAATATTTTTAGCATGTTAAAGTAAAAGGTCTCGTGTCCTCGGGTGTTTAGACTTTGGAGAAACAACACTATGTGGTAAGAAACGACCAAATTCTTCAAATTCTTCATCTGCAAAGTTTTAGTTTAGTTTAGTTTACTTTAGTACAGTATATATATATATTAGGATTTCAGGAGCTTCGCTCTCATTTAAATCACCTTATAATCTACAGTAACTATTAACAACCAGAGATCCAAGAATAAAAAAAATCTATTTGCTCGATGGCTTAAAGCACTTCTGCCTGATCGGTGGTGTTTATTTGAGTGAGTATCAGGATAAATCTTCTCTCTATCTTCTTAGTGTGTGCCCTGCTTCAGTCATTATTTTCCCCTCATGCTTATATCTATCTATGTGTTTGTAAGGGATACTCTGCTACATTGGCTTTGCCTAAAACAATTTCTCTCTGTACCTTATGCCATTAAACCAGAAGAACAGAGTTGTTCCTCAATAAAAATCTTCTTTTTGTTGTTACAACTGAGACATGACGAAAAATAAAAGATGGTGATGTGATTGGAGCGGTAGCCCGTCACTGGACCACACCTGTGGGCGGTCAAACCCTTCTTGTATTTAGGAACAACACAGCAACTGCCAACGCCGCTGTGACTACGTGGATCTGAAATTCAAAGATGTCGGCAGAAATCCATAGAAATTGCAAGATCTGCTCTGAGCAGAGTGCAGCAGACCTTACAAATGCATGATTTTTGCGAGGGCCGGGACAGCTCTGCTCCTATGGCCAAAGTCCTAGTAAGGATACAGTTCAGAGTGGGGGGGGGGTATATGAAGGACAGAGGCGAAAGGAAGGGAGACACAGAAAGAAAGCCGCCGGAATGACATCTGCTCCATCTCGTTCACAGCCTCTGGGTGAAGTTTTCCGGGAATACTCCTTTTGTGGCGTTTTCCTTGTTCTGCTGCCAGTCCTCCAGCTTGACTCCCATCAGCCAGCCGTCATCCTGCCGCACATTGACACACAGTGATCAGATCAGTCGGACACCGTCTCTGTCCACGTGTATGATTCTGTCCTTACCTGTTCATCGGGGTTGTCGAAGGTAATCACTAGCACCACGTCTCCGACCTTCATCTCCAGTTCGTCGGTGTCGTTGGCGGCATAATCGTGCATCACCTGGACCTGGATGATACATCCAACAAATGACACGAACCTGGACCAAAAACCAGCAGCGTTTTCAACAACTGTTATTATTGATTTTTTTTACCTTGAACAAGAAACTAGGGGGCATTTCTGCAGACTCTGACGTGGCTTCTGATGGCTCTGATGGTGACACTACTACTGCTGCTGCTGCTGCTGCTGCTGCTGCTGCTGCTGCTGCTGCTGCTGCAGGCGTCTAAATTATAAAAGAAAAATCGACAATTATTATACGCATTTAGAAAAAAATATTTCGCTTTAACTTTAGTTTAAAATCATTCAGTATTTGTCATTATTTTGCCCTTTACATTTTCTTCTTCTTTTTCTTCTACTTCCACAGCTGCTGCTGCTGCTGCCGGGGCTTCTTCTTCTACTGTTTTTTGCTCTTCTTCTTCTTCTTCTTCTTCTTCTTCTTCTTCCACTGGTGCTTCTGCCTCAGCAGCTTCTGCAGATTCATTCTGGGAGAAGAGACAATTACAGAATCTGAAGTCAGAGTTACTTTGGTACGAGACATAAATAGGGCAGCAGAAACCCCCCTCAAAAAGGACTAAGAAGAGAGAGAGACAAGGACGGACAAAAGAGACAAGCAGTGGTGCGTTAAAACAGCAGAGTCATAGTTAATGAAGTCATGTGTGGAACAGCAGCAGGATCAGACAGTACAGCACAGCTGCCATTGATACAAAGCTCCTGCACAGATTATTATGTGCCCAGACTTGTGATTAGCAGTAATTGTGGTTAATTATGCACGCTGAGAAGCAGATGTCTCTATTCTTTCCTCTCTCTGAACACCCTGTTCATTTCCACTTCGCCCTGCGGTCGATGCATCTCTGATGCATCCATCCTACATCTCTCCATCTCTTAACTCTTCTTTTCATTTCTATTTCAAGCTTTACTGTCAAGAGCCGATGCATCCACCATTTTTTTGTCTAGATGCATCTCTCCATTTTTTGTTCTCTCCTTGGTTACCTGACCCTCTTCATTATCCACCTCTTCAGCAGCTGGGGTGGGTTCTTCCTCGGGGGTCTCAGCTGAAGCTTCAGCTGGAGGTGTTTCCACAGCAGTGGCCGGTGGGCTCTCATCCTCAGCCCAGTCGGCCTGAGCCTCAGCCACAGGTTCAGGATGAACTGGCTGGCTCCCATCATCTCCCCCTTCCTCCTGAACCGCAGCCACTGGGTCTTGGTGAACTGGCAGGGATCCGTCGTCCCCCCAGCCCTCACTGGCGGCTGCTATGGGGTCATAGTGGAGAGGCAGCGAGCCGTCATCGCCCCAGCCCTCCGTGGCTGCTGCTATGGGGTCATAGTGCTCGTTGGTTTCCTCTTCCTGGACATTTTCATCCTCAGTCTGAGGGGCAAGGGTCAGGTAGAGGTCAAAACAGATATTTATTTTTAGGGTTCTGTTAAATGATGAAAGTCGGACTGGTCAGAAATCATCTTTGGGAATAATGAGCTCTAATACTACTGAGGGAGAGGACAAGGACAGTTGGGGGTCATAGTGGAGGGGCAGCGAGCCGTCATCGCCCCAGCCCTCCGTGGCTGCTGCTATGGGGTCATAGTGCTCGTTGGTTTCCTCTTCCTGGACATTTTCATCCTCAGTCTGAGGGGCAAGGGTCAGGTAGAGGTCAAAACAGATATTTATTTTTAGGGTTCTGTTAAATGATGAAAGTCGGACTGGTCAGAAATCATCTTTGGGAATAATGAGCGCTAATACTACTGAGGGAGAGGAAAAGGACAGTTTGGGGGGGGGGGGTTAGAGTGCACAAAGGTATATTGGAGAGATATGTAATTGGGTAAGAAACCATGCAAATGATATTAAAAGGTCAAAGGTCATTCATTTAAATTATAATGCAAAAGAACTAATTTTATTGGCTCAACACAAGCAAGTTTAAAAATCAATACTTTTTTAACCAATCGTGAATGATCTTTATGGTCTGGATTTATTTATGCCCTAATATGTCACCAGTGCTACAGGTGAAATGTTCAAAATTGTTGTTGTGTTTTGTTGTTTTTGCCTTGAAGGTATAATTTGAAGTGTATAAAACATCTTGACTAGAATCATATGGATGAGTAAAAGCTTCATAAAGTAATGGGAGCGGCTCTGCAGCAGGCGTTAGTGGGCCATCATCATCATCATCATCATCATCAAATGTCCAAAGAGGTTTGATGAAGGTTAGAAATCGTAGGAGTTCAAAATAAATCCAAAAGGAATGACAACTACAGTGGCGAGAAACAAAATGAAGATTTTCCCATCAGAAGATGATGTTGGATCTTCTGTGTTCACTCAGCAAGCATGGTCTAAGGTTTCCAAGGTTATGTTCAGATGCAGAAAAGAGGAAGGAAGCCGTGTAAGAGAAGAAGTGTCGTCCCTTCTGGAGCCATCACTGCTCCGCCTCAAAGTTCTCACGCTCTCCGAGACACAACTCTCTTACAGCAAACAAAACAAAAACTGAATAACCAGAATGCCAAGTTGCCAGAAAGACACCGTGAAGTTGCTCAAACTAACCCGTCCGTCTCACTTCTAATAACCAATCCACTGCAAATCTGGGCAACTTCACTCAACTTTCAGAGCACAGGAGTTCCCTGTGTGTCATGACATGTCAGTGACATGTGATCACAACAGGGAATGAAAGGGAAAATGAAAAAAAAAAAAAAGAAACATCAATTCAGTTACAAATCATTAGACACAACTGGAGGTTAAACGGCATCGAGATGCTGCACGTCATAAAACAAATATCAATTTGAAACTGAATTGACAATTTTTAGGTTTTTATGAGTCATACAATATTTTTTGAAGTGAAACAAGACACGAAAACATTTAAAAGCAAAATGAAATCATATGAAAACGAGAGCTGTCAATTGAGTGGAATTTCAATCCGATTAATCACAGGGAAGCTGCGGATGAAGCACGGATAATCACAATCACTGTTTAATGAATAAAAATTCAGATTAAATATTACTGATCCTAGTCTAGAAAATTGTCGACTGATAATGATTAATTGAAAAAAAGAACAGAAATTCTGAATATGAAACATGTTCAACATGCTCAAACAGAAAGACAAACAACAACACGTGATGTATTTTAGTCTGTTCTGTGCGTCTTGACTGTGGCTTCTAGAATGAACCAAGAGTTAAACTACAGTCCTCAACACACTCAGTGACTGGTTTGATGAAACCGGTCGTGTCTGATCTGAAGTTGAAACCTCCGCAAATGCATGCTGGGCTTTGAGACGGTAATTTAAGCCAGAGTTGCTTCTGTGAAACTAAAACCTTGTTCCGGCAGTGTCTGTGTAAATCGACTGTCGCGGTGGAATCACTCTGGGTATGTGTTTAAAATTTTACTGTAATTCATATCACAAATGAATCAGTTGGCATGTGAATATCGACAGCTCACATAAAAACACAACAACAACAACAACACTCGATGAGGAGCAGAACGTGTACAGGAGCAGGCGTTGAAAGATAAGGTCACATGCACACGGTCACAAATACGATGCTACAGACAAAAAAGAACGATAACGATGATGATCATAATGATAGTGTTGGAACGCTTACATTTAACAATCGGTTCAAACTGAGTGGAAAAATCTTACCCATGAATCCCAGTTTGCCGGCTGTGGAGAACAGGAAGCAAAAGGATGAAGTGCAGAATTTAACATGGAGTTTTTTCTCTTTATGTCTGTTTCATTCAGTTTTTTTTTTTTTACATTTCCAGTGCAGATCTCATGCTCCTGACCCACAGGTCCATAGCAAGAGTGTTTGCAAACAGTAGAACAAGCACTAACTGTTCAGGTAAGAAGTGCAGATGTTAAAACTTTAGGTATGAAAATATTCTTAAAATAATAATAATAAAAAGAAAGTCAGTTAATATGGGTAAATACTTTAGCCTAACCTAAAACAGTGTGGACACTCCTGCCATTAAAAAATGAAAATATAATTTACAACTTACAAAATAAAATGTAAAAAAAATAAATAAAAAACTAAAACAAACAAGATAAATTATTCTTTAAAAAAATCAAATGAATTAAATGAAATTGCCGAGGAAACCTGGAGTTCCTACCACTCTAGGTCTACTTTAACCCTCACAGGTCGTATACCATTTCTCAGGCATATCCTGTGGATGACCAGCAGACCTGAAAACAGCTTCTCCAAAGCAACAGGATTAATATGCCACAGTCTTCAGGGTTATAATTCACCACTGTGAGTCTCGGTCTTAGGAAAAAAGAAAAGAGTCAGAGCTGAGCAGGACTTCATGCCATTCGTGTTCTGTAAATTCTCACTGTAGCAAAAGGAATAAGTCAGCAGAGGCTCATCATCATCATGCTCACATCAACCCAAGGTTCAGGAGAGTAGAGAGAAGCCGAGCGAGGAACCCCCCCCGCGCCCCCCAAACTGTGCCAAACTCTGCAAGAGTACTGAATCTGCACGGCAACAGATTATTGGCTGAAGAGACACAGAGCCATCTGTTTAAGCAGTGTGTTGATACTGGAGCCTGATGGAAACAATAATACGTTTTTTTTTTTCTTAAAAACCATTAATTCAACTTTAATGTCCTCTGAGTTGAACATCAAACCCTTGTAGAGCTTGGCATGTCTTGGCTCGGACTCCCTCTGCTACTGTATATTCATGCCATGACTTGACCACCTGTGTCACTGTGGAGGCTTTGGTTGCTGCACTGAAAGAGTCCAGATCCATGTCCAGCAGGTTTGTCACTGCAAGACCGTCAAACTGACAACAGGAATACAGTAGGAGGACTCATTGGACAAGTGTATGACGTGGGAAACACCACCAGTTGGAACAGAGTAGAGTGGAATTCACAAAAAAAAAAAAAAGTGATTCTAACCTGTACAAAATAAAAAAAAAAGAAAGGGCCAGTTGGCAGATACGTCACTGACCTCTGTAGGAGACGTGACACTGATATCTGGAGCGGCTGCAGCGTCGAACAAGTTGATAATGTTTTCTGTTTTCATCTCTTTAGACGGGGTCACCTTGGGTGGAGGAGGCACTGCTGGCTTTAACTGGGACAGAAAAACACAGCGTTGGATTTGGATCAGTGAAAAAATCAAATACAGCACTGGAGGTGTCACTCAAGGGGCAGACATTCCTCCAGGGGGCAGCCTGTTGCAGAACATCTGGTTTTAACACAATTTCACCAGTGCAATGTCAATAACCATGTTCAGCTCTGGAGGGCCACACAAAACGATGTGGTGGACCGGATTTGGCCCACAGGCCTTGAGTTTGACACGTGAAATTTAAGAATGTTTTAATGTTTGACTCATATAATTAGCTTTAGTATGTATTGGAATGGGCAAATGTAACCTTATGCCAATATTGTACTTTAATGGTCTAGTAAACTTTTCTTTTTCGATCTTTGATTCGTTCACGATGATTCTTATTTTAATGGTTTGGGTCAGAGGTCACATTCTGGAGGATTTCTATTTTAAGAGGTGATGAAAAGTGATAAGGAAACAACCTGAGGAGGACGTACAAATCAGTCTGGAGGTTTCTCATAATAACCTTATCGTACCAACTGTAATCGCTCCGTATTAATCCCCTGTTTTCTAGAGACATAAACAAAATCACTGACCACAACAACAGGTGTGTGTACCTTGGATGGAGATTTAGGAATCGGTGGCGGTCCTCCTGGCCTGAGAGTGTGGTTTGACGGTTCTTTGTCACTAAAGTGGACAAGAGCGTGACAGAGTGGGAACAGTCACAGAGAGAAGTAACCAGGTGATTGAAAAGGTTAGAGAGGAGAGAAGTGAACTGTGGGTTAGAGGGAGCGGCTGAGAGCTGAAAGATGACAGGAGAAAAGTTACAAGGCATGCTGTTCAGAGTGACGAGTGAAACATTGTCATCGCAAGAGCCGTCATGCACAGGAAGTGAGCCTCTCATTCCTCCCATCCCATGCAAACAGGCCAAGTCTGTCCCTCCTGCAGAACCTCACAGGCGTTGACTGTCCTACAGCCGGGACACAGAGACAGAGCTGCAGATGAGCAAAGAGACCAAAACAAAGCTGCAGCTCAGGGCTGCTGGGAGCACCATGGTGCCCATATATGGCTGTCAAAGTGACTGACTGGCCATTGTCCAAATATATGTGAACATATACTGTATGAATATTTTTAAAAAATATATTTTTAAGAAAACTTCAGCATCATGAGAACCTCCGGTGAAAACTGTTGTTATGGATGACGACTACATGTTTTTAGTCACTCAGTCAACAGAAATACTTCACTGAAAATGTCAACCAAAAATACAAGAAAATAGTATTAAAGTATTAAAGTATTAAAGTATTTAAATAGTTTTTTAGATTCAGAAATGTAGCCAGATTACTATACCTGAGTTTTTGAAAAAAATATGTGAATACGTGAAGTCTGACTTCGATCTACCAGTTGCAACAGTCTCATCTTCTGCTGCTTTTAGGTCAGTTCTGTTTGTCCCCTTATCATCTGCAGCTTTGTGGACACACAGACCTCCCTCTGTCCCCCGCCCCCCAAGTTGGACAGTTTGACAGCCCAGGTATCTGCGCTTTCACTTTCACAACCAGGAATTATTTCTGTCCACGAAACATTTCAAGCTTTCCTAGACTAACTGACATCAGGACAGCTGGACACACAGACAGACAGTGGCTGTTACCACGGTTACCACACAAGGCTGTCGTTACCTCCTACTCGGTCCTGATGTCGCGACGCCACGGTTATCTGACTTTCTGCAAGGGTGAGGGATTTAGGGATGGCCGCAGGTTAATGCATGTCATGATTTGTGTTTGAAAAAATACAGACATTAAATAGAGTTTTTTATGTATTTTAGAGATTTGTGGGTAAACTGAAAAAACAAATAGAAAAAAATGCTGCACTGGTTTTAGTAGCACCTCTGAATCAGAGTTTATTTTTTAATAAGACCCTAATGAGACCCTAATATGGCCACTGAGAAAAATATATTCTTATATTTAAACCAGTTACGAAAAAAGCTTTAATTTTTTGCACACATTGTCTCATACAGAGTTCAATGTTTAACTTTTTGCAAGATAAAATAAATTTACAAAAATATTTTTTTACTGACTGTCAGTCTAATTAGATTCAAAATAAATTTACAAAAATATTTTTTTACTATCAGTCTAATTAGATTTATATAAACACCAGTCAACTGTTGAGGGATTTTTAGATACTTTTGCAGAATAAAAGACAGCATTCAAATCAATTTTCTATTTTCTTCTCTGGACTGAAGGACCTGAAGGACTTCAGTCATGAATTCATGATGCTCTGTGCTCTAAAACCATTTCAAGGATTCAGTTAATGCATTTTGTTATACTGCGTATCTGAGTGACAGATGTTCACACTAACCTGGTCGTGTCTGACTGCTCCAGTTTCACTAAGACATCATACAAGTCCTGATCCAACTGCGGAGGACGGAGAAGGAAGGTGTGAGCAGATCAATGCTAATGAACTTAGCCGCCGATCTGAGTTGTCAACATGTTCCATCTGATGATGTGTGTCAATGTGTTATCAAGGCCGCTCACCCGACTAATTTCCTTGTGAAACTTCTCCTCAAATCCGGCCAAACTCTGGAAGGTGCTGACATAAAATCCGACACGACTGGAGACAGAAAAAGCAGCAGAGAAAGAGAGGGAATATTGACTGTGTTACATGCTTGACTTAGCTCAATATCCTGTGCAGGAGAAAAGTGGCACAGATGTAAGTGAAATGCAATCGCAACATCCATCCATCAAGAAAAAAAAAATCAAACACACACCTGTTCCAGAGAGAGGGCAACTCTTCCTGCAGGTCAATATTAATCTCCTCGAACACCTTCTGTGCTCTCTCCAACTCCTCCTCAGCCTAAAACAAACAAACAAACAAACAAACAAACAAACACCGTCTTTTACACTTGGCTTGAGAGAAGAGAGCAGTGCCTCAATATTTTTCAGAAGATCTCATCTGAACTGGAAGTGTTGGATTTGCTCATCCTCTGCTCTATGGTATGTCTGTCCATCCATCCATCCATCCATCCATCCATCCACCCATCCATCCATCCATCCCTCACTCCCATATCCTCAATCATGGTAAAAGTGATGCAAATGATGACGTCACTGTTCTAAGAAAAGTATTTTGGCTGCTGCAGTTAAACCATCACTGATAAAAAAAGCAGGTTGCACTTCACAACTCCGGCCACTTGGTCGCAGTATAGCTCTGTATTTGACTGCTGATGAGCCAATTTGCAGGTGCTTGGGTGAATGGAGTCACATGATATCACAGTATATTTTGAGCCAGTTAAGGTGTCACCAGGGATGGAGTGGGACAAAAAAAAAAAAAAAAAACTCCTGTTAGATTAGAAACGAACCAATGAGCTGCTTCTTCACCATTGGCCAGTGTTGAAGAAACTACACAGTGTTCTAATTGTTATTATGGCCTAAGAAAAAACAATTTCTTCAAATTTAAACAATGTAATCTAGTGTATATATAACCCATGAGACAGAAATAAACACTGAAAAAATACAAAGAACATAGAGCTCCTTGTGTATTCATTTAAATATTGGCAGCCACCTGATCTTTTTGCAGGATTTAGGAGAGTATAATTTCATACCTGGCTCCTGGACAGACTGCTCTGGGCAACACTGTGGGCAGACAGAATCCCCTGAGCCCAGCCTGGTGCGGCTCTCTCCAAAAGAGACGTGGGCTGCAGGTGCAGAAAATAAATACATTATGGTACATATGAAAGTATGAGTGAAATAGTTTCTATTTATTTATACTTTTTTAAAATGTATTTTACCTTTGTAATTTTAATGGCCCCATCCTTTTTCTTGACCTTGTGCGTCGTGGCGTAGTTGTGCCTGGCACTGTCATAATCCACCAGCTTTCTGTCCCTCTTGGCTATACGTGCCTACCAACACATCCGAAGAAATAAAGTGTTGATTAAGGTCGTTGTTTTTTTTTTTTTTAATTATCATTAGGATCTTTTTCGGAGGCTTAAGGCTACATGTGATCGATGGACACTCAATCCTACACATCCTACCTTAATATCAGGGAATTGTCCGAGGTAAGTGTCCATGGAGATGAGAGCGTGATCGACCAGCTTCTGGTGGTAATCTGTCCAGAGTACATCAGAGTCCTGCAGCAGAGAAGGATGCATGAGGACCATAGGAGGACCTTCATCCCGGCATCGATTCAGTTCCATTTGCTCAGCCGTGAGGTCCGTGCTGACGGTTTTGGAGCTACATCACCAATAAACTTACATCTTCTTTTCACAGTTTAATAATCCATGTTATCATCGGACGAGAACTATTAATCCCAAACCAGTTTCAGGATAAAAAGGTTAGCAGAGAATTATTCAGTAAATCCTCCCAGTTCAGACAAGACTTAAAATTTAATGCCCATCCTTTTAACCACGCTCAGTCGTTAAACCCAATTGATTAGAGGGCAAATTATGGAGATACACACCGTCATACTAACAAGACAGTCAATCAATCTGTGCAAAAACACACACAAACACACAAAAATATAAATATATATCCAAATACATTTTAAATAAAATAAATAATTTGTAGTTTTCTCCGTTCATCCAGGTCTTTATGTTTCGTTGTATTTACAGTAAACACAGGGAATAAAATTGATTACTGTATTTTCCGGACTATAGGTCGTATAAGTTTTTGATCATTTGGTGGAAAAAAATCATTTTTGGTCCTTACTTTGAAGAACAAAATTTAAATTTTTCGGTGTTAGAGATTCAAAACTCTTATCCTAAATCGACAAGTTTTCTTAGAGATTCAAAACTCTTATCCTAAATATCCCTCACTTTTGTTTCCAATCGACAAGTTTTTAATGGAATCAGGAAGTGTGTCTGACCTCTAATATGGAGTCCACGTCATTCTTCCCGTACCATTCCGGCTCATACATGTCACCCAGACATTCCTGCAGGTTCTTGGAGGACTCGTGCATGGCTTAGAAGGAGCAAACAGAAGCAGTTATGAATGAATGGAGCTCAACAGTTCAGACAGTGTTATGTCCACGTGTGGATCTTCACCTTTCACTGCCTCCAGGTATGCCCTCAGGTCCCTCTGAAGTTTGCTTCCCTCGGTCTGCAGGTGAAATATAACACATCAGAGCTGGAGTCAAATACGGAGGAAGCTGGAAGTTCAGTTGCAGTTGCAGGAAATTGAAACCAGTTCCAGATGTGTGCAGTAACAGTGATTTCAAAGCCTGGGTTCGTCGTGTTTCACTCACATATTGTTTATTGAAGTTGATAACTCCTTCCTCAAAAGCAACATCTTTGGTCTCATCAGCCTTTCCGAGCTTCTGAAGAACCTGACAGACAAGAAAAAAAAAACCCATAGCATTGGCAGCATTACAAGGAGGAAACAACCAAAAAAATCAGACACACACTTCACTGGGCTGTAATGGAAGAGCAGCGCCCCCTGACATTTAAAAAGGGTCACAACATAAACGCAGAGACCACCAGCATCCCCACCCCCCTTTTGAATAGAGCTACATGGGGATTTATTTCTCCACTGCTGCTTCATATTAACACTTCTAAGTGCTGTGAAAAATTAAAACAAACTGACAGCACGACAACGACCATCTTTGTCAAAGACTCGTCAGTGATCAGGTCTGTTGTAGACCGCAGGCCTGTACAGTACGGCAGCGGCAGCTCCAACTGCTACATGCATGTGCCCGCTGCTTGACATTGACTGAAGGATGGGTGCAATTCTAGAGCACGGCCCCATCCCCAAATCCCACTCATCCCCTCGGGTTTAATCATTGTAATATCGCCGTGACGCGACACTGCGCCTAAAGCTGGAGGATGCGGCACTGGTGCCTCAGCCACTGGGCCTGAACCATCGTTTGCCACTCACATTAACGCGTAAAGGAAATTCCTCTTACCTTCTCCTGCGCTCTGGTCAGTTTCTTCTGGACATTGCTGGCCACTTTCCCCGCGGTCAGCCCCTTCCCCAAATTCAGCTCAGCCATCTTGCTGCGTAAATCTGTCTTTGGATTGATGCGGAAAGGAAGCAAGGAAGGGAATGATAATAATATTAAACAACAAAGAGCGGGTGGACGGCTCTAAGGCAACGGTCAGAGTCGAATCATCAAAGTCTAAGCTACAACATAAATGTGGATAAATGTGACCATGTGAGGCTGAGGTGAAGCCGTGCAATAACGTGAGCGCAGAGGGCTAAGCTGTATTTCAGTAAAATTGAGCCGCTGTGTGCGCGTCCGTGACAGAGGAGGAGGATGCTGAGAGGAGATGCTCTTAAAGGCACAGACCCTGATGCTGCTGCTCCTGCTGCTGCTCCTGCTGCTGCTGCTGCTGCTCTACGTAGAGGAGAATGGAACCTCAACGATAAAGACCGGGTCTCTACCAAACACAGTGTTTATAAAAGGATGTTTTATTCTTTTTAAAACGATGTGAAAAAAGACTATTGTTGATCCAATAACTATTTCAATTTCTGTAGACCATTTTAATTTTTTTTAATTACTGTCTTAAATAACGAACAATGAAAACAAATCGGGAACGAGAAAAACAAGGATAGACAAGAATACACGCCTCAAAGAGTCAAAAGTCCTTAATGAGCATGCGCACTATTAAGGACATGGTGGTTAACATAACCATCTTTTTCTGTGTTGGGATTATGTAACTGTCAAAGTGACATGTAAACATCACATGACATCACATGACAAAAACACTCAGCACTGCAGTGACATGAATGATGTCATTACATCATCATCAAACATCTGCACCGATGCTGGTGGAAAACAAAGAAGGAAATAAGAATAGGGTTTCTTAGATGCACATTAAACACAACTACTGTACCAACGGGATTATTATGGCGACAGAAAGGCTTTATACATGCAACAGATGGCGCTGTTGAGCCGCTTTAAATATTGTAGGAAACACTACAGAGGGGATAATTCGATGGCCTTGCCTGTTGCCTGAAAGCATTGTTGTGGTTTGTTCGTGTTTTTTTATATAAATAAATGATATATTTTCAAAAACTCTTCAACAATATAAACAGTCCAAACAAATGTGACTAAGCGCTATTGTTGATTTTTGCGACAATTGTTATGCAATAGCAAAAGAAAAAAACAATTACAAAAGATTAATTTTTTTTTGCAGAACACATTTTTGCAGAAAACTGACCATACAATCACCATAAACAATCAAGAGTGTTCCATATGACACCGACAACTGGAGGAAAGATCTCAAATGGAAAAGCCGAGCAAAGCCAGTGATGAAACCCAGCTACCATGATCAGGTCAGAAAAGTACTGGAGAAAAAACATGACAAATATGTGACATAAGATGATGTATTTTAATGTATTATATCATTGATTAATGATAACTACTGTAATGTAGTGACGAACTGCAACTGCGACTGTTGTAGAAAAGTACAGTAAACAGTGTTACAGCCTCAGGTGGCTGACAGTGGCTGGGAGCTGTCCAAGGTCCTGAAGTCAACCAGCCTGGACAAAAGAGAAACCCTACTCTTGTGATTCATACTGTAGTGCGACATGAATAATTATGTATTTTAGAGAAATGATTTTGTTGCATAACTCGGAGTGAGAATGATCACAGGAGAAATCTGTGTGAATTTTTTAAATGTGAGTAAATGTTGTTCAGTACAGATGTGTTTCTGAAGATGTCAAACACAGTAATGACAGATTAATGAATGTATGGGTGTCATTCAATGTTTGTTTGTGTGGGGTTTTTTTTCCAATTAAAGTCAGTCTTTGTTAATAATAACAAACACACTCCTCCCTCCCTCTAATCTCCATCCTTCAAACCACTCGTTCTTCTAGTCGCCTTCTGTCTTTCCGTCTTCTTTCTCCTCTTTTCAGCCTCTCTTTCCTCCCAGTTTCTTTATTCCCGACAATAACAACATTTGGCCACGAGTCACCAAGCCCATTCGTTCCCGTATATAATCACATGGACCGCTCTGCTCCACTCCACTCCACTCCCCCCTCCCTTTCAGCGGGAATGGTTTAACCCGCTGAGTGAGGGAGACACAGGGAGCACAAAGGAAGCGCGTTACTGCTCTGCTAGGAGAGGAGGGGGGGGCACTTTACTGGCTGCATGATGTAAACATGGAATAAAAACCGCAAAGCTGCATTTCCATTTCCCGTCGCCGTGGGTCCATTATCTGCGTTCAATATTGCATGAGGTGCTGCCTAATAACAGCGCGTCTTCTGTCTGGACGAGGTGGAAACAGACACAAGTGAGACACTGAAGCGGAGGAGGAGAGCGGAGGAGTTGGGCATTGTTTCATTCTCGCTTCAAAGGCTTTCTCTGGAGTTGCTCACCAGCTCTGGACCCAGTCTGGTCCATTGAGACGAAATGTTGGCGTTTTCAACCTGACCCAGTGGACAAGTGGGGGGTTTCCTGTCTCCGTTCCATTTGTTTTGTTTTTTCTTTGTTTTGGGTTTGGACTGCAGTGCGAGGATGGAAACACATCCCTGAGGTGAGTGAGTTTTCTTTTGTCTTTTAGTTTCCCCCACACTGATTCCTAAAAAAAAGACACTTTCCTTAGACATGGATTACATTTTCTTTAATTAATCGCAGTTATCATTTAAAAATCACCATCCATCAGTTCAGATTCCGAAAGCTGGAATAATATTTCTAGAAGCCAAATGCTTTCCCCACATCCTGATGTCCATCACTGTAGAAAACCCACACCGCTGTCCCCCTCCATTGTTTTCCCTCTTTTGTTTTTAAACTGTCTCCTAACGGAACATTCGGTGCTTTAATACGTGACGGAAACACTCGGCGGCAGCTCAGCGGTCTGAGATCAGGGACAGTCGGGTGGTGTGGCACTTAATAATTTAAGGAACTAAACTGTGAATGTGATACTTCTGTATACAACAGCGTTAGACTGGGAGTAAACACATCTACCTGTCTGTCTATCTGTCTATCTGTCCTTCTGTCTATCTGTCTTTCTGTCTTCCTGTCTATAGATCAACCAAAGAATTGATTACATTTTATTATCATTAGAACAAAAACACAGATCTTCTGTCTTACAGTTTTTTTCCTGTTTTCTTTTTCCATCTCCTCTTCCTCTGGGGGCAGTAATTGCACATTAAACACCTTCATAATTGCACGTTTCATTTGCCAGAGCAAAGAGAAAATAATTATATACCGCAAACCCGCCGAGCTGATTGTGGAGGTATTTGTCTTTCAAATCCCCTGTTAAACCTGCACATGTTTGGCTCCGCACCAAGCTACCTTTGTGTCTGTGCTGGAAGATACAAGGCTCTCAAGTTGTGTGCTCCATTTATTCCTGGACTTCTGCGGTTGGAGAATTTTTTCATTCACATTTAAAATGGCACAAAACCATTCATCGGGTGAAACAGCGGTTATCTTCTGCCATTCTAGTTTTTAATATTTATGTCTCTGATTTCCACAGGCAGGGATACATTAAAAATCTTTATGGTGGTGGTGGTGGTGGTGGTGGTGGTGGGGGGGTGTATACAGTGCAGTATCTCATTGGCTCTGCGTTCAATTACACAGACCATGGTTATACTGTCATGGCCACTTGTTTTCAATCTTCTTCAAAACAACAGACCTTGTTGTCTAGTCTTTTCTCTGAGACCTAAACCCAGCAGACCTTCAACAAGACAAATTACAGTCCCGACCTGCGAGGCTCCTGAGGAATAATGACCTGTTTTGGTGGGGGTGTACAGTTGTCCCGAGGACAGAAGATGGTGCACAAGGAAACTGAGGAGACAACAGCACTGCTGTTCCACTGTTGCAGCTGAAGCACCGAGGACTGCACTGTATCAATGGATTCAACAGGACTTCACTTTTTATTCAGCTTATCACGGCAGTTCATCCTGTGCCAGTTAGCATGATGCTAATTTAGCGTGTCACAAGCCTCCTACTGTCACCAGATCCACCAGAGTAGAGTTACTGAGCAAAATGATAATTTTTCAATGTACAGCCGTCTGAAGGGATTTGGAGACGGAGGAGAATGTGGTAAAGAAGTGAAGTCTACCGAGAAGTGGCAGAAATAGATCGAGGATGAATAAATGGGTTTCAATCTCATGCCTGTCAAAAGCCTGAATGCGACCCACCATGGTGCTCTGCCTTTGTCTGAAGAAGAAGTCAAGAATTCTGTCTCCTTCTGTGCAGCTGGCATGAGTGTTAAAAAAAAAATCTTTTGGGGATTTTCTCTGACCAGTCCAGCCAAAATGCAAACTATTTCAGGCAGCCTACAGATAAACAGACTTTCAGTAGAAAGTGTTAAATCCTTTAGTTACGGTTATTAAAACCTCATCCTCCAGCGTTTAGTAACCTCGCACTGACGAGGTGAGAAATGTATCCGAGGGCAGGCTTGGTGCAGCTCTGTGTTGCACTGCTAACTGTGGTGCTTTGAAGATGGGTTATGTAAGTGCAGTGAAGATCAGCCAAAAGGATTCAGACTCTGAAGTCTGCAGTGTGTCTCAGTGTTTGTGCCACGTGTTAGACGCAGATGAATTATTAGGTCTGAAGGACCGGAGCGCAAAACACCCGGAAGAAAGCAGCTCGTGTTGAATTCAGGATTATAAGAGTTGACATAAAAAAGGGAGGACAAATATCAAGAAAAGGGTTTTAGAAGAGGGTGGCCCTCAGCCTCGGAGAGAGAGAGGAGGGAGTCAATTCTAATCCCATTAATAGACACCAGTCTTGTCCTTCCCACTGGCAGGTTTCCATTGAAAGAAAAAAAGAAGAAACATCACACACACAAACACGTCTGTTCAGATATAGAGCAGTTTGATGTCCACATCACCGTGTCCTCAGTCTGGACACGTCCTAATGATGCGAGCGACTCCATATATACTAATGTACTGAATGCCAAGTCGTCAGTATTCCATCAGCCTAATGAGGACAGAGAAGAGTGAGAACTGCTGGTTTGACTCCATGAGACTCTCCCCAGCATGTGAGCGCCCCCTTGGCAGTGTGACATTTATGAGTGTGTTACAGTGTGTGTGTGTGTCATAATGGTTTGTAGCAGAAAGATTTTCTCCAAGTGCAGTTATGGCAGACACATATGCTGCAACATTCATCATTTTTATCATTCAGTTACGTGTGAAGAATGTGACGGCACGTGTTCAGTTTGTTGTGAGTGAATTTCATGCGTGGCCTGCTGTCAGAACTGGGCTTTTTTTAACCTTTCATTTGAGCTGAGGTTGTTTTTGTCCCTGATGCGTACTGCAAAGTTACGATACCACATGTGCTAACAGTACACATGTCAACAAACAGAGCTCCATTTGAAGTCTGGGTCCGCAGAGACGGAGCAGAGGGAGTGAAAAGACAGAAGGGAAGGCTGCGTACAGAGGACACGTGCATGGCTGTGCATGTGCGTCTGCTCTGCGTACGTGTCACAGACTCGGGACCTTTGTTGGAATCATCACAGACGCAGCTCTGCAGCCCAGTCTGTGGTGAAACAAAAGCTGGGTTTTTATTTTTCTCTGTTCGTTGACTCCCTGAAACCAAAGATTTCTACCCAATATTTTGACTTTAAATCTGTGGAGAGTTTAATATGAGAATAAACTACAATTGACAATTGTTGGTCCATTGGTCTTAACTAGGGATTTTAACATGCACTCGATCGATGACCTGAAAACACAAATGCATTTATGACGTAGCCAAATATTGCTGGTAAATTAAGCATTTCTGGAGAGAAATACTCTTTAAATGACTTGACTAGTGGCCAACATTAATTAGCGATGCTACACAGAAATCTCTGGAAGGAAAAGACAAACATCTCTTGATGTTTGGATGAATTTGTATTCCGTGGATTGGACTGAAAACCACATAATTAGCAGACGAAGATAAAGGATTTGGTTTTCTTTTTCAGAATGGTGAACTATCTAAGAATATTTTATTGATGTCGATCACACTTCTATGGCCAAATGTGGAAAATTGCTAAAATTAGACAAGAGCTTTTCAATCTTCTTTCCGGGGGTAAAAGAAATTGAGACTAATTTTTTTTTTTTTTGATAAATGGTTTGATGCAAAGACTTTAAAAACCAGCGCAGTTTCTAGAAGGTGTAGTGTTTATTAGTGAAACGACTGAAGGTTTTTTTTTCCCATTTCAGACACTCAGGGTATTCACTGGGATGTGCAGTCATTCAGTGACTGAACAGTTACTCAATTGACATTTGTTGAAAAAAAAAAAAAAAAAGGAGGACTGTATCCATGGGAGGATTGGAGACAAATGTTTCACTGACTGTGGCTTATAGTAGGCCTAGTGTTCAGCAGCAGGAAAAGAGTGAGGAAGAGCCAAGTGGTTGAACGCAGCAGTGAGATAAATGATGCTGGAACGAGAGACGATGAAAGAGAATGAGCTGTAATCTGATGAAAGCCTCTTTACGGACACCTCACCTTCAGGCCACAAGCACCGACCAGGGCTTAGGGTTGGATCAATGTCTCCAACATTCACTCAGCGTCATGCACACAGATACAGAACAAACTCTTCCCAGCATGCCTGTGATGGACATGGGACACATCAGTGTAGATCACTGCACGGGAGACCAGTGTTTTTTCCCCACTGTGGGAACTTACACAAAAAAGTTGGTGTGCAAAAAGGTCAGTGGACATAAAACTGTTGTCAGTTGTCCAAGTGTCAGTGGTAAAACTAATCGTTGCCTTAGGGTTAGCGGCCTACTAACGTAGCACAACGCGACTTGTTTGCCTCTTCTAACTCGTGGGCACGTTCAGCTGTCTGTGTTTTCAATGTAGGTTCAGGTTTGTCGTCCCAACGACATCCTGACGGCTCTGCCTTGGTTAGCTAGCAACTCTCTTCCAAGTACTTCCAAGCTAACAACATGCTATCTTTACAAAAACAAGTTCCCTTTAACATGTGATTTGTTAAACGTCCTGTTCGCCTACACAGAAAGCAAGGGCAAAAAGTGTCCTGCATTGCTGGTTGCCAGTCCGGGTTGATCACACAGATCTGGATCACTGGTCCGTCAGACTTTACGTGTGTATCCTGTACCTTCTGATTTCTAAAGAAATACCTCGAAACCCTCTAAAATGAAGGCATCCTGAAGGTACTTGGGTCAGTACAGACATGTACTTTGTTCCTATGACTAACGTAAACACTATGTAACAGGTTGTTTGGACTCATCTTCTGTACCTAACAGAAGGCCCATCTGTTCAGTGATGCCCCTGGTATTACTCTGCCCTGGTCCATCGGGCAGTTTCATAAAAATTCATCATGCGTTTCCCTTTTAATGGGATTGTGTTAAAGATAAACTCAACCACGTGACTGAAGAATAGCTTATAGTCTATAGAAATCAAAAGGGAAGTGACTTCATTTTTAATTCATGCTTCACACTAAGGTGTGGGGAATCCATTTGTGGAACTGACTTTTTATTTAGATATCAAGTGTAAGCTAGCACACTGCCAGTGTGAGACGTGTGAGTCACGAGGGAGCCGCCTGTGTTTTTCTTTTTAAACGAAGCTCTTTTTCTCCCCCCA